TGAGACCCTGCCTTAAAAAATTTAAATAAGAAGGAAAAGGAACACAGTAACAACTACCCGAAACAAGAAGTGACATTCCTCCGCAGAATCCAATCATACTAGTAAAGTTAATAAATCATTTTTCATGATTTAGTTTTAAAAATACAGTTAAAGGTTGGGCGCGGTGGCTCATGCCTGTAATCTCAGCATTTTGGGAGGCCAAGGTGGGAGGACTCCAGCACTTTGGGAGGCCAAGGTGGGAGGATCACAAGGTCAGGAGTTTGAGGCCGGCCTGACCAACATGGTGAAACCCTGTCTCTACTAAAAATGCAAAAATTAGCCGGGCACGGTGGAGTGTGCTCCCATTGTGCTTACATGGTGGCGTGTAATCCCAGCTACTCAGGAGGCTGAGGCAGGAGAATCGCTTGAACCCAGGAGGCAGAGGTTACAGTGAGCTGAGATCCCACCACTGCACTCTAGCCTAGGTGACAGAGTGAGACTCTGTCTCAAAAAAAAAAAAAAAAAAAATCCTCTTTATTTTTAAAGTATGAGTATAATTAATTCTCAACAATCATTTATGTCCTCAGGCTCATCAACTCAATACAGTTACCCAAGCTTTTGGTAGGCATAAACAAGGAAATAACACTCCCCAAAACTTCTGCATGAAAAAATTTGTTTCTTATGTTCAGGTTTGCTAAGTATTAAGCTTAAATGTCTTCCCCAGCCATGTAGCTGCCTGATGTGGTTTCAGTCAATGATTGACTGCATTATACGACAGTGGTCCCATAAGATTATAACGGAGCTGAAAAATTCCTATCACTTAGTTGTCTGTGTTACAAATACCTACAGTATTCAACACAGTAACATGCTGTACAGGTTTACAGCCTAGACAAGCTATATCACATAGATTACTATGTAGTTGGTTATACCATCTAGGTTTGTGTAAGTACTGTACACTCTATGATGTTTGCACAATGACAAAATTGCCTGGTGCATTTCTCAGAATGTATTCCAGTTGTTAAGCAACACAGGAGTTAATTCCTTCACAGGATAATACGTGACCTTCAGACAATGCTCAAATGATACCAAAGACACCTTTAAGAGTGAACTCTTCAGCTGGTACTGATTTCTCCCAAGGAGGGAACACTGCCTTCCAAAGGGCCTGGTCCACCATCAAGCCATTCAGAATACTCTGTGACCTTGAAGGATGTGAAGCACATCTGAGTTTTGAAAGTGACAATCCCTAGAGTATGGAGATGCCCAAGTTGGAAGTAGCAATGGTTCTAGAAGGGTTACAGTGGTATAAAGATATATTTCACCATAACAATCCACCTGCCTTTCTCATCTCCCCTTATCATCAGCAGTATTTCCTTTTACACATATTTAGAAGAATTTAAGGGAATAACAAGAATCCACTGGTTAAGTTCTTCAATAACTTTTCACTGCTCTTAGAATAAAATCCAAATTCCTTGACCCCAAACCCAAAAACAAATGCAATAAACGCAAAGATAAACACCTGGAGCTTAATTAAACTGAAGAGCTTTTGTATGGCAAAAGGAAACAGTCAGCAGAGTAAACAAACAACCCACAGAGTGGAAGAAAATCTTCACAATTTATACATCTGACAAAGGACTAATAATCCAGAATCTACAACAAGCTCACACAAATCAGTAAGGAAAAAACAAACAATCCCATCCAAAAGTGGGCTAAGGACATGAATAGACAATTCTCAAAAGAAGATATACAAATGGCCAACGAGCATTAAGAAAAAATGCTCAGCATCACTAATAATCAGGGAAATGCACACCAAAACCACAATGCGATACCACCTTCTTGCTGCAAGAATGGCCATAATCAAAAAATCAAAAAATAGATATTGGCATGGATGTGGTGATCAGGGAACACTTCTATACTGCTGGTGGGAATGTAAACTAGTACAGCCACTATGGAAAACAGTGTGGAGATTCCTTAAAGAACTAAAGGTAGAACTACCATTTGATCCAGCAATCCCACTACTGGGTATCTACCCAGAGGAAAATCGTGGAACCAATCCAAATGCCCATCAATCAACAAGTGAATAAAGAAACTGTGGTGTGTAGGGTAGGGGTCGGGGGGTGGGTGGGGTGTGTGTGTGTGATGGAATACTACTACTCAGCCATAAAAAGGAATGAATTAACAGCATTTGCAGCAACCTGGATGAGACTGGAGACTATTATTCTAAGTGAGGTAACTCAGAAATGGAAAGCCAAACATCATATGTTCTCACTGATATGCTGGAGCTAAGCTTTAAGGACGCAAAGGCATAAGAATGGTAAAACAGATTTTGGGGAGTTGGGGAGAACTGGGGGAAGGGGGTGAGGGATAGAAGAGTACAAACAGGCCAGGCACAATGGCTTACGCCTGTAATCCCAACACTTTGGCATGCCAAGGCAGGTGGTTCACCTGAGGTCAGGAGTTTGAGACCAGCCTGGCCATCATGGGGAAACCTTGTCTCTACTAAAATACAAAAATTAGCTGGGCATGGTGATGCGTGCCTGTAATCCCAGCTACCAGGGGGCTGAGGCAGGAGGATGGCTTGAACCTGGGAGGTGGAGGTTTTAGTGAGCTGAGATTATGTCACTGCACTCCAGCCTGGGCAACAGAGCGAGACTGTCTCAAGTTTTAAAAAAAAAAAAAAAAAAAAAAAAAAAAGACTACAAATATGGTGCAGTCTAACCTGCTTGGGTGATGGGTGCGACAAAACCTCACAAGTCACCACTAAAGAACTTGTCACCAAATACCACCTGTACCCCGAAAACCTATGGGGAAAAAACATTAAAAATAAATAAATAAAATCCGAATTCCTTACCATGGCCCTCTAGGTTTTACCTATCCCGAACTCACAGCCCAGCCTCTGGCCTTCATCCTAGAGGTTCAGACACCCTGGTGTCCTTTCTGCTCCCCAAACTAATTCTAAGCTAGAATATCACATTTACATATATGGTAAAATAATAATTTTAAAATTTAGATATGGGCGTATGGGTTTTCATTGTTACTGAATTTTACTGTTACGTCCTAACTTTTTCTTAACATTGTTTAAAACAGCCTTAACTATGTTTTAGGCATAACTGAAGTTCATGAAGATAATGAACAGAAATAGATATTACAATTAAAAAACTCATTTGGCTTCCAAATACAATTCCCTTGTCCCTTAAAAAATGGGTTTCTTTTTTTTTTTTCTTTTTTGAGATGGAGTCATGGTCAGTTGCCCAGGCTGGAGTGCAGTGGCACAATCTCAGCTCACTGTAACCTCCACCTCCCACGTTCAAGAAACTCTCCTGCTTCAGCCTCCTGAGCAGCTGGGACTACAGGTGCCTGCCAACATGCCAAGCTAACGTTTGTATTTTTAGTAAAGACAGGGTTTCACTGGGTTGGCCAGGCTGGTCTCAACTCCTGAACTCATGATCCGCCTGCCTCAGCCTCCCAAAGTGGTGGGATTACAGGTGTGAACCACCGCACCCGGCCAAAAATGGTTTATAACAAACCTCAGCAGGATTCCTTGGGCTAAGCCAAAATTACTAATGTGACTGGAACAAAGCCAGATGCTAACAGGATTCTAATGGGCTGTTGCAATCCATACCTACTATGGAGATAGGCTTGCTTCTGATGATAATTATTGGTGTATATTAGAATCCCAAAGTGGTGATGTTAAGGGGTGTTAACATATTACTTTCTTTTTTTTTTTTTTTTTGAGACGGAGTCTTGCTCTGTTACCAGTCTGGAGTGCAGTGGCTCAATCTTGGTTCACTGCAATCTCCGCCTCCTGGGTTCAAACGATTCTTCCACCTCAGCCTCCCGAGTAGCTGGGACCACAGGCGTGTGCCACCACGCCTGGCTAATTTTTTTGTATTTTTAATAGAGACAGGGTTTCACCGTGTTGGCCAGGATGGTCTCAATCTCTTGACCTTGTGATCCGCCTGCCTAGGCCTCCCAAAGTGCTGGGATTACAGGCGTGAGCCACCGCGCCCGGCCAACATATTACCTTCATATGAAATGAACACTTAGGACAAGCTGAATCTGCATGGACATTTAGTTTTCCCCTTTCGCTTTCATGCACTGCTCTCCACTAGTTGTTTTCCTCTCTCTCCCAATGCCCTTTCCTTTCCTGCATCTATTTATTTCTTTATTTTCCTTTCTGAATTTAATTCAATGACTCATCTCTACTCCAATGTCGATGTCCTTCAAGGTTCCACTCTTGGCTGTCTCCCTATGTTCCCTCTGGGTGATCTCATCTATGTTTTCAACAATCTGAAATCCATTTCCAGCCCGACCAATGGCCTACCTTTCCAACTCTGCTTCCTACAGATGTCCTCCAGGCAATCCAAATCTCCTCTAAGTCCTGCTTCTTTTTCAGTGTTCCCCTTCACAGTGAATGGATCCACTGTTCACCCCATCACTAAACTTGATTGTCATAGCAAACTCTACTCAACTTTTCCATATATATTCAGCTCATGAATTTAGTCAATTTTATTTTCTAAGTCTGTCTTTACAGACATCAAGGCTAGATCCTTACCATTCTCCACAAAAGCCAGTTGTCAGTGGGGTCAATATCACCTCTAGGGGATTACTATGGTCTGAATATACCTCAAAATCTATAGGTTGGAAAATTTAATTTCCAATGCAAGTGCTGGGAAGTGGAAACTAACGGGAGGTGTTTAGGTCATGAGGACTCTGCCCTCGTCACTGTAACAAAGGCTTACAGAAGTGGATTGCTCTCTTCTGCCATTGTGAAGACACAACATTTGTCCCTATTTTGACCTTCCAGCTTTCACTATGTGAGGATGCAGCCCTCCCCAGATTCTGAATGCCAGCACCTTGATCTTGGACTTAGTCTTCAGAACTGCGAGAAGTATCTCTCTGTTCTTATAAATTACCCAGACTCAGGTATTACAGCAGTATAAATGGAATAAGACAGAGACGCTGTGGGAAATCTGGCTGTCAATGATTGGGACATTTACTGACAATTGAAATAATTTTTTTTTAAAAATATTGAATGTTTCATAAATTTGTGTGTCATCCCTGTGCAGGGGCCACGCTAATCTTCTTGGTACCTTTCCAATTTTTAGGGTATGTGCTGCCAAAGTGAGCATCGAAATCATCATTTTAAAAAAGACATTGCTTTTCCATGCTGTTGTTCACATAAGCATATCCTTCTGCTAGTTTCCATATCCTCTGAGGTTGAGGGTGTGCGGGGGGGGAGATCAGAATACAAAATCTTTCCATCTATTCCCGCATCTAAGTCCATCACTGAGAGCTAAAGTCTAGCTTTTAAAAAATGATTGTACTGGTTATGTAAAATTCAAACATTAAAGAATTACATAAGGTAGAAAGTGAAAGTCACCGGCAAAGCCTGTAAGATACAGTCATTATTAATAGTGTGGAATATATTCTCTTTTTTATTACTTGCTTTGTATTTGTGGGGGTTTTTGGTCCTGGAAGTCTACTCTCTTCTCCAAACCAGACGACACTAGAAATGGCCACTTCTATCTTACAAAGCACGAAGACATCAAATCACTGCTCTATCACATTAACACTCTCAAGAATATTTTCCAGAGTACAAAGAAACATCCCAAGAAAGTGCTGGGGAATATACAGAATACCCACTGGGAAAATAAAAGCCCACACCATTAAAGTTAGGCCCGTTAGGTACTGCCCATCTTTGGCAATCTGACTGCTTTTTGGCTTATGCGACATACTCCTATTCATCTATGTAATGACAAATACTGAAAAGAACTCAAAAGGTCCACAAGCCAGTCAGCAGAACATTCATTAACTCCAATACTGTGTATTTACTATATGCCTCAAACTTAAGGCATCAAGAGTGCCTGCTCTTAAGACACATTCTGGTGTGTATGGATGTGGGCGTATGTGTTTCAGACAATAATGAAAAGCTGCTGAATGACAACACATTCCTAGACAGCTGAGCTCACAAGGCTCTACACTAACATGTGTTAGATATGACTCAAAAACTTCGTGGTCAAATACAAAAAGCACAAAGAACGAAAAAACCCCACACACCATAAGATAGTTGCTTACAAGGATTATAAAGATTCTTAAGCAGTCATGGAGTGTGAAATGCAGTACATGCATGAATGTGTATTCTTTTTAGATAGCTGGTTCTAAGACTTAATCCCTTGCTTCCAGCGTTATTGTTACTTAATTCAAACAATAACTATTTACAGATACTGTATTAGGTGCTAGACTATGTTTGGTAGTGCAGAACTATTATTTAAAGCACAGTAGTTAATTATATGGCCTTTAAAGATAGCCTGGGTTCAAATCCTCCCTTTCTTAGGTCTTAACTAACTTAGACATTTCTAAGCCCCCTTTTTCCTTATCTCTAAAATGGCAAAAGCAATAGTTACTTCACAATATGGTATACAAATTAAAAAGTGCTTAGCATTGTATCTGTCTATGGTATCTATTATATAAACCGGATAGCAACATAAAATGGAATAAAATAAATGAACTTATTGTTCTATAAGCCTACATCTAAAAGTCTTGATTCAGCTTCTGATGAATGGGACACAAGCCTTTCTTAGCTGCAAATAAACTGTGATAACTAAAAATTAAAAATAAAATAAAAATCAAATTGAGAACTACATATGGAGAAGTAAAAAAATAAAAGATGTGGTAACTTAGGTTCCATTAAAATAAATCAAGAGTAGCTTTAAGAAGCAGCTGAAACTCTGGGTAATTTATAAAGTAAAGAGGTTTATTTAGCTCACGATACTCAAGGCTGAGAGGTACAAGGTCAGGTGATAGCATCTGGTAAGCTTCTAGTGAGGGTTTTGTGCTGTATCACAACATGGTGGAGAAGCAGAAGGGGAAGTGGACATGTCTGAAGAGACCAAACAGCAGAGGTGGCCTCATTTTATAAAAACCTGCTTTGGCATTAACTAATCCAGTCCCCAAAAACAGAGAGAACTCAATCCCAGGAGAAAGGCATTAATCCCTCTTAACGACTTAATCACCTCTTAAAGATATCTCCTCCCAACACTGCCACATTAGGGACCAAGCTTCAACATAAGTTTTGGTGGAAACAAACAACATTCAAACCACAGCAGGCACATATTGGTAGAATATTTGTAGAATGACCTATTAAATATTTATTTTGATTCTCAAAGAAACAGTGGGATTCTCCGTTCATTCCTACAAGAAGTTTATTATTTCTGTTCTATAGATGAGTAACTAAGGCTCAAAATTAATGGCTAATTTGTTTAAATATCATGAAGCTAGTTAGTAAAGTGAAAAAGCTGGAACTCCAAAGCAGGTTTTCGACCAACTCTTAGACAGTGTCTGTCAGGTTATCCACTATCTTTCATACTACAGTCAATACATTCATATGTATCAGTAACCTTAAAAACGTTTCTCTTTAAGCCCACAATTCCACTTCTACAAATGTATCCAATAGATGATGATCTATTGCTTCTCTAAGATTTATATGCAAATATGGCCACTGAATAGTTACTTAATACAGTAGAAAAAGGAAAATCAACCAGAATCCTCACCATGTAGAAATGAACACTGAGAAGTCATTGAAAATCAATGCTTCTGGAGATTTTTACTGACATCAAAAAATGTCTACATCTCCTCTTAAGTGAAAACACCTTGAATTCAAAATCTGCATTCATATAACCCCGTCTATCATCTATATATGCAGAAGGATATGCTGAGAGAAAAAAAATATCAAAGGTTAATAATGGGTAGTGAGAACATGATTTGATATTTATATTTTTTCTTAAGGTTAAATATTTACAATGAGCATGTAATACTTTTTTTCTAAATATAGAAAGTGTACTTTTAAAAAATCAATACATGAGGCCGGGCATGATGGCTCACTCCTGTAATCCCAGCACTTTGGGAGGCCAAGGTAGGCAGATCACGAGGTCAAGAGATCAAGACCATCCTCGCCAACATTGTGAAACCCTATCTCTGCTAAAAATACAAAAATTAGCTGGGCGTGGTGGGATGCGCCTGTAGTCCCAGCTACTCAAGAGGTTGAGGCAGGAGAATCACTTGAACCCAGGAGGCGGAGGTTGTAGTGAGCTGAGATGGCGACACTACACTCCAGCCTGGAGACAAAGACATCATCTCCAAAAAAAAAAAAAAAAAAAAAAATCAATACATGATCATTTCCTACAAAAAGAAACCAAGACTTCGTGCAAGAGTAGGAAATACCCAAGATGAGCCAGGGATATGTTACTCCGGAAAGCAAATATTGCACTATGAGGTCATGCATGCTAAAAAAGACACAGGAGCTAAGTTGAAAAGTGCTGCACAGACCTAAGATGGTAGAATTTCAGCATTTAAAAAAATGACAATGCATTTACATGGAAATCAAGCATTTGCATACATTAAATTATTGTATATTTAATAGTAACATGCATGTATAATAATATACGTAACACAATAGAATCCATTAAAATTATAATACTAGTAAAAAAAATTTCATTGGTTTACCTTGGAGGTTGTGAAGGCAACAATGCAATACACTAAAAATTGGTTTAAGAAAAAAAAAGGACATGCACATTTATCCTGCCTTTTTCTGAACAGACTGTATTTCAGGATAATCAAATAGGTGACAAGGGAAAGTTCTTTATAGAAGATTCATAGCTAATAAATGTGGAAAGAAAAAAATTACCATTTTGTAATACTTTTTTTTTTTTTTTAAAGAGTCTTACTCTATTGCCCAGGCTGGAGTACAGTGGCATGATCTCAGCTCACTGCAAACTCTGCCTCCCAGGTTCAAACAACTCTTGTGCCTCAGCCTCCCTACGTAGCTGGGACTACAGGCTTGTGCCCAGCTAATTTTTGTATTTTTAGTAGAGACGGGGTTTGGCCACGTTGGCCAGGCTGGTCTTGAGCTCCTGGCCTCAAGTGACTGACCTGCCTTGGCCTCCCAAAGTGCTGGGATTACAGGTGTGAGCCACAATGCCTTGGCCCATTTTGTAATTCTTGATGAAATAATGGAACTAGGCAACAATTACCAGTGGCTTTAACTATTAGGTGAAAGGCTGATAGGGAATTTCATAGAGGATATGCAGGCTAACTACATGGACAACACTAATCTATTAAGACAACCACACACCAGTGTGACTCATGATACAACACAATAGGAAGTACAAAGCATCATCTATCAAAATTTGACTCTCCATCCCTCCCTCCCCCGCTGTCCCCCGCCGTCCCCCGCCATCCACTTCCACTACAATTCTGAATCAAATCAAGCTTCTAGAAATAGTGGTTCAGTCTACATACAGGTATCAAGAGAGAGGAACAAGTTTAACATCACCATAGGGAAGCAGTAAGTCAAACCCAGAAAATGGGACACTTCACAAGACAGATGTTGGGTTTCTCCAAAAAACCAAACAACATGAGAAAAAGGGGGCAGGGGAGACAGCAGAGACTTAAATAATAAAAAGACTCATGATATAGTCAAATACAATCCATGGGCCCTCTCTGGATCCTGATTAAATAAACCAACTGAAAAAAACATATGTTGGCAATCAGGAAAATTACATACTGGGTATGACAATTAAGGAATGACTGTTAATTTTGTATGTATATAAAAATATCCTTATCAGTTAGACATATATATGGAAGTATGAGTGATTTGGGATTTCCTTTAAAATACTTTAGTTCCACCTCTCTCAGAGAACAAGGTGGGGACAGATGAAATGGCTAGCAAAGTATTAACTGTTGAAGCTGGAAATTCATTGTATTATAGCCTATTTGTATAAACTTACGTATTTCATAATTTAAAAAATAGTAATAAAGTTTCTATTTAAACAACTGGTATGTCTCCTTAAATAAATCACTGAAAGGTGAACTATATCATCCACTGAATTTTGCTTTACTTAATTTTCCCCTTATTTGCCAAGAAGTTCAAAGTCAGATTTATGTAAAACTACAAAATGACCACTGTAATCCATGTTTCAGATATAAACACTACCCTTTCCTTCTACAGGGTCTCAGAGCTCTCTTACTTAACTGTTCCAATCTACACATGTTTTCATTTTGTCCACTGCAATTCAATTAAACTCACCTTGTTGATGGCACGTAAGAGGAATAATATCTACAGAGGAAATAG